AGATAAACAGAAAATCATACATTTACACATTAACCTGTCTGATAAATTATTCTGGGGTTTTAACAGCTTAATCACAGAGAAACAAAAGCTGGCTAATGTTAATTTTTTTTTAAAGGAGATGATAAAATATTGTCCAGGTAATCATAGGCCTAATTATTTGTCTTGCATCAACGACAGGAAAAGTATTTGAAAGTCTGGTAAAAGATGCTTTGTAAAGTCATTTAACAAAGTTTAAAATTTTGTTGGATTGTCAACATGGTTTCACCAGGGGAAAAATGAATATTTCAACACTATTGGACAAGGTACTGCTTACGCTGATAAGGGTTATGATCTGATTTGATATATCTATATTTTCAGAAAGCACTTGGCAAGGTGCCACACAAAAGGCTTGTTAAAACATTCTCTATGGATGTGGGGGATAAATCAGCTCATTGGATGAAAGAATGGTTGGTTGTGAGGAGGATGCTGCTGCTTTAAACAAAGTATTTAGATCATTTGCTGAATTGAGTAAATAACTGATAGATGGCTTTTAATTAAATTAAATGCAAGGTGATGTATGTGGTTTATCATAATTCAAATTACAAGTATAATTTTGATGGGAATAATCTTAACAGTGTTACAGAAAAAAAAAGATCTTGGTGTAGTGGTTGATCAGTCTCTTAAGCCATCAGAGAGTGTGCTGTTGCTAGTGGTAGGGTAAACAGGATCTTGAATCGTTTTTACAGAAATACTGAATGCAAATCTAAAGAGGTTACCATTCTATAGTATAGGTCACTTGTAAGGCCTCATTTGAAGTATTACATTCTTAGGCTCCTTACCTTAAAAATGATACAGAAATGCTTGAAAGGTTTCAAAGGTGAGCTATTAGGATGATACATGGGATGGAAAGGTTTTCATACAAGGACAGGTTAAGTTCTTTGAAATTATTTTCTCTTGAAAAAAAAAAAAACAATAGCTGGAGGGGAGTGTGATTGAGGTGTTCCATGTTGTTAACTGAATTGGGAGTAAATTTTGCAAGGATAGCAATCAACTTTAACTTACAGTTTTACTTTTTCAACAGGGTAATCAGCCATTGGAATAGGTTGCCTTCACAAATGGTGGATGCAATAAGTTCAGGGGAAGGCTTACTAAACATTTAAATGATTGGGGTAGGATTTGGGGTTTTGTTTTCCTCATTTTAATGAGACAGTGTTATTGTCCTTAATAAACTAATCAGATAAGTTTACTTTCAAGTTAATTTACATTATTTACATAGAAATATCTATCAAGTCAAATTAAAAATATGTTTAATGCATTAATCCAAAAAAAAGAAGAAGAAAAAAAGGACACGTACTACATAAACTTATTTCTATTTGTTATAGTTACTATAGCCTACTGCACAATACTTTCCTATATTCTTGATTTTTTCAAGAATTAAAATAATCTAAAACTTGCAGAGCATACTAATATATAAAAATGTTTCTTTTTCACAAAAAAAAAAAATATAAAAAAAAAATATATATATATATATATATATATATATATATT